AAAAAAGCGGATTTTCTGCCAACTTTTCTAGGGCCCATTCACTGAAAATTCGACGTTGTGGCAGATCGTTCGGCTTCAGTTCTTGCACGAGCTGTATTTTATACGGTTTTACACCAAGATCTTTGCGTAAAATCTTCCATGTGGTCGAATAACACAAACCCAATTGCTGCGAACGGCGACGAATCGACATTTCACGGTCTTCAGCAACACTCTCAGAAACAGACGCAATATTCTCTTCTGTACGCACTGTACGCATTCGTGTGGTTGGTTTAATGTCCAATAAAGAAAACTGAGTGCGAAACTTGGTCACAATCGCATTAATTGTTTGCTCACTTGGTCGATTATGTAGACCATAAATCGGACGTAAAGCGCGAAACACATTTCGAACCGAACACTGATTTTGGTAATAAAATTCAATGATTTGCAAGCGTTGCTCGTTAGTAAGTCTATTCATGATGAAATTTCAAAGCATACTGAGCATCTTTCTCTTTGACACCATGTCTGAAATCCCACGTGATCTGTCAAATACTAATGCATGAAAATCCTAACCTCAAAAAAATCACCCGTTATAAGGAAAATCGTCAAAATGTCGGGGTATTCATATTTTTGGCGCTGACTGTATAAGTATACGTTTGTGCGGAGTTTCTTCGCCTTTCATTCGAGCGTCCGCTGTGGCTGAGTGAATCTGGATTCGATCCCTGGCCCGAGCAGCATCTAGATTAGAAAACACTTTTTAACCGACTTCACAAAAAGGAGGTTATCATTTCGTCGGAATATTTCTTATTTTTCATGTATGTTACCGCATAACTTTGGACCACGTGAACTATAATTTGTTTTTTTTTTTTTTTTAAGGAAAAGGTGTTACCTCACCAGGTGGTCCCATATTAATTTGGTTTAAATCCGCTCATTGGATCATGGAGAAATTAACGATAATCTTAAATTTGTATATGCGAATTGAAGTGGGTTTTGTTTTTTGCTTAAAAATTAGTTGTTCTAACAGAGGCCCATCGGCAGGCAATGGCAAACCTCCGAATGTATTTCTGCGATGAAAAAACTTCTCATAAAATCTATTTGCCGTTCTAAGCTTAAAATTCTAGGTATCTCTACTTATGTAACAACATCAAGACGCACCTCGAAAATTATTAATAAGTGTTCGATATGCAAAAAAGTTGTACAGGTTGGTACCAATTCCTACCACATTGTGTTCGTTTGGCCAAAAAACTAGTAAAACTTGCAAGGAGAGACCACAATTTTGACATTTAATTTGGAAGAATTTGCAAGCAGGATTCGTGTGCCGCAATTGCATTTTGGTCAACAATAATTCGAATCAACAAGTTCGTTAAATTTAAAAATTAACAATCTTGTTGCGATTTATAATGAAAGAAGTATGTAAATATTTCGAGCCCTAACCGCCAAAATAACGTAAGCGACATTTTTTTCAAATTTTTCTTTTTGATGCAGAAACGCATCTAGATGCTCTGGGAATATTTCTGCATCAAAAAGAAAATTTTGAAAAAAGTGTCGCTTACCTTATTTTGGCGGTTAGGGCTCGATTTGTTCATTCAATTAATTTAATTAATTTCAAACACTTGAAACATTTGAAACACAGTCGACACCACTGTCGACAGTAACTTCCACAAAGAAATGGAAGCGTATGTTGAAGAAAGTCAGAATAAGAAGAAATAAACGTATAGGTCCTGTTTTGTTTTCCACCTGAAATAATTTAAAAAATGTATTATGTTCCAAATGCAACCAGGGACGCTAGCTGGCAGTGAAGCTTGCAATTGTTTGCTAATTCCTGTTCGCGCAAAACTTAGTAAGTTTCTCTCTTTGGGAGAGTAAGATACCTTATTCTCTGAATTTTGTTACTGGCTTTTGCAGAACAAAAGCGAACAGAATTAATATTTGATAAATTTCGTATAGATTGTCCAATTGGTTCGTAAGGTATACGTGATTCAGTGGAACCACTTTTTTTTAGCAGAAAACGGTAAATTACAAAGATCTCGAAAATTCGTTCATGGAAAAAACTAGCTCGAGCGATTCTACATACAAATTTTACTGATTTTACAGAATACCCGTAAAAGCAAAATCATAATACATGTAAACTTTCGATACCTTTTCGGTAGAAACAAGAGGTATACCAGGTAATGAGATGGCAGAGGAGCTTGCAAGGAAGGGCACTTAAGCTTATATGGCCGAAATGGAACGAGAAAAGAGCTTGTTATGCTAAGTAGAGGAGAAATGAGTACTGCACTAGCAAAGTGCGCTATGTAAATTTTTTTAGATTTTTAGTTTTTGGTGGGTAACGTACCAGTATTTAAAGTAGTTTCATGTCCACTAACAATTCAGTGCAAAATCTTTCTATATTCTGGAAAAATAGCATCAAATGTTAACTACTCTTGCAAAAGTCGCTATAATACTTATGTATGTATTTATACACTTTCAAAAGTCTCCATCTTCTGATGAATTTAAAAAACTGCAAAACGTGGTTGTTTCGGTGCCTAGTGGAAGACGTCTTAAACAAGAAGCAGACCAAACTTCATGGAAGACAGAACGCGAAAAGCTAAAAAAACCTAGCTATGTAAAAGTTACTGTTTCAAAACTCCCTATATTAAATTTTTATATATAAAATTTGCAAAAACTACCACACTGCGATTTTGTGTTTTAATGTTATTAGGCTCTTATTTATCCACATTTTCAGATAATAAAAATAAATATACAATTTGGATGTTACGTTTTGTTGTAAAGGTTTTTTTTTTTTAATTTATGGCTTACTATTATAAAATCACAACGTTGTTTGCAAGCGGACTACTCAAAGCTCTTAGGTTACATCACTCTAGGTAGGTATGCGGAGGGTTGGGTGCCGTTTAACGACTTCTACATGAGCTGCAGATACGAGGAGGAGCCTGAATCAGCAAGGCACCTACTTTGCGAATATCCTGCACGGGAAAGGAGCAGATTAAGGCTCATGGGTGCTGGAACCGTTGGAGACCTGAGAGATATAGCCGCTATAAAGATAAGACGATTGCTCAAATATGTCAGCTCCACAATCTAGTTTATATAGGACGGGGGAGGCGGGGGTTCATCAGATCCGTTGTGGCACCAATACGAGCCCTATGCTGTGTCTACCGGCAGCCACATCAGCCTTGTTTTTGGCGTTATCTTGAAGTGATAATACATTTTATTTTGTGGAATGATATTTTTCAATACGTCCATTGTATCCAAATATATTTACCAACATAAATAGCAAACGAAAACACTTAAATCCCACACTATGCAATACTAAAAATTTGTTTTATAAAAAATAAAGTAATAAAACCAAAAATAGGTCCGACCATTTTCTCCTTGTTTTTAAACTGTTTATCAGTTCTCAAATTTTTGACAATAAAAAGAAAACTAATAACCATTTAGTACTTGTATCTGTATATAGCGACGCCAGCTACGCCAATTAAAATAGATCCCATCAAATAGCCTATTAGTTTTAGCTAAAAAGAAAGGAAAAGTGTACAGATAAATATAGGTATGTAACATAAGATGAGTCCAAATTCAAAAGCAAACATTCGACAAAAGAGTAGGCTTGAATATTCTAAAAATCGTTGACGGCTGAAATTAATGTCGGAGTGAGTTCTATAATGTACACCTCACAAATTTGCGGTCCCGTGAAACATCTATCAAAATTTGTATGAGAATTCGTTTACACCTATAGTTTTTCGCCGACTTCGAAATCAAAAATTTTGTTGTCCCAAATATAGACGTATTTGGTATTGTTGAAAAGGTAATGTATCCATTATCAAGGCTCCGGTAAATTTTTGTATAAAACGAATAATATGCAACAAAAAAACCATTGAAGTTGACGCATTTCACCCCAATTATAGTGCTTATCATCACTTACACCACTCACATATTGACAAGATTTGACCATTTATCTTAATATTTGTTAATTTTAATTATTTGTTTTTAAAAATATGGTACATACTTAACAAAAACCATATAAGTCTGAGTGTCAATCTTAGTGCAAAAAAAAAAGAAATCAACAAATTTTCGAACAAAATTCGAGTTTTTTAATTCGATTTTTTAGAAATACTGTGAGTATGCAGTTTTGTAGTGCATTCAATTTTAGTAAAACAAAGTGCAAGTTTAAAGTAGCTCCGACTTACCATTGATTTTTGGAAACTTTTTTTTTGTTGAAAATGTTGCTCATTTTCTCCATATAAAAAAATCGTATAACATACTTCATATGGAAGAAAATGACTGACCTCGTCAACAAAAAAAAATTTCGGATTTTCCAAATCAACGGTAAGTCGGGGCAAATTTAGCCCTGCACTTTGAAAATTGAATGTGGAACAAAACTGCACACTCAAAATATTTCCAAAAAAATCTAATTAAAAAACTCGAAAGTTTGTTGATTTTTTTTCAAATGTTGCACAAAGATTGAAAATGGGATTTACATATATGGTTTTTGTTAAAGAATATACTATATTTTTGAAAACATAATTAAGATTAAAAAATATTAAGATAAATCATGGGATCTTGTCAATATGTGAGTGCCGTAAAGTTATGATAAGAACTATATTTCAGTCAGAGCCAGGGTTACCACTGAAAAACTTTCTTTCCTACCTATTTAAACTTGATCATGTGGTTGTTAGTTCTGTTGGTTTTTGTTAATAATTCAATTTTTAGAATATTTAACTCTTAGGTGTGCTCATCCTTAAGTTATTTGTTTTTGTTATTTATGGCCTTATAACAATTATATTCAACAATTTTTATTGAGCTTGAGGCCGTTTTTAAAGTTCAAATACCACTGGAATAGCTGCGCTTGATTGTAGTTGGCTCACATGAAAAAAGTGGAAAAAGCAACAACAGTTAATAAGGCGAACTTAGCAAAATGCGTAGGCAACTGGCTGAGTCAGCTGGGGTCGTCGAATCCCGCTGAAGAAGTCTGATGAGGAAATGTGGTGATTTCCGAAATAGCTAACACTTCTACCATTTTTTCAAATTGTTGTTGCTTTTCCACAATAGTTTTTCATTAAAAACGACCTCAAGCTCAGTAAAAATTGTTGAATATAATTGTTTTTAGGCCATAAATAACAAACACACATAAATAAGTAAGGTAAAAATAAACCTCACGGTTAGGCTTGCCAAATGTCCGGGTGTAGGAGCCGCCGGGCTGGGGGAAAAATCTGCGCGCTGCGGGTTTGCCATTATTTTCTTCTAGTTGCGGTTAAAAACTCTGAAATTCTTTGATTTACTGGAAATATGTATGGATAACAATACGTTTTCTTTTTAATTTTCGTGTATAATAAAAAATAACATATTCTCTAAACACGTCCATTTGTTATGTAGTATGCATTTGAATTTTTCTTCTAGTGCCATTTAAAATAGTCTAACTACCTTGTCATGGTTGAAACTATTATCGATATGCCCATCAATTCAGTCCCTTCATATCCCTTTAGATACTCAATGAATACAACTTTTTATAACGTATACGGAGTTCAGAGAATCGCCGAAGGTAATTGATGAAATTCTGCCTAAACCAGTAAGCAACGAGTTTTTAAGGTATTTGGCAAATAGTTGGACCCATCCAAGAAACAGAATGAGGGTAAAACTGATATTGTTTTGGCAAGCCTGCTCACAGTGTTTTCTGTTTTCTGAGCAAAGAAACCTACCAAAATTTTAAGCGTCCTACCAACCTACTAACAAGAAAAAACCTATCAATTTTGGTAGGAAAAGCCCAAAATGGCAACCCTGGTCAGAGCCACGTCAATTTTAGGCTTTACACGGAAACAATTAGTAGTAGTAGTAGTATATTTATTTAGCTTTAAGCTATTTTTTACAATTCGTACTTAGTACTATAGAAATATACATGTTCCATTTGTGTTTAAGGATGGTTATACAAAATTTTCTTTTACCCAATTTGAAAGCTTTCTTCTAAATGAGTTGAAAATTAAATCTTCTTTTATATCATAAGGTAGCGAATTAAATATCTATAGAATATATATATATATATATATATATATATAGACTATTTGTGCTGCGCTTGATATATACGACGGTTTTTTTATATCGGCGTTATTTCTTAATAAATATGGCTGAACATCAGCCACATAGTTAATTTCTGCCGTAAGATATCTAGGAAGCATACGATTTTTAACTTTGAAAATGAATAAGATTACATTATAAATCACACGTTGGTTGACTGACATCCATTTCAGAGTATCAAGCATATCCCTAACGCATGCTAAACGATTATACTTAAGAATACATCTCATAGCTTTGTTCTGTAATTTCTGCATTCTATCTATGCTATGTTGGCTTCATAAAAAAAGTATGTAGAACAATATTCAAAATTAGGCTTGATAATCCCATTATAAATTTTTATATCACAGCACAGTGATACCTTATTTCTGATCCTACACATAAAACCAACTTTTTTACATACTTTTTTACAAATATAATCACTATGTGCATCAAATTTTAACTTAGTATCTAAGACAACGCCCAGGTATTTTATTTGGTCTACTTCTTGAATGGTGCTTCCGTCTATAGTGAGGTCCAAGTTAGATCTACCGCCGAAAAGCATCGATTTTGTCTTCGCAATATTCAGTTT